GGTGAGGGGGTGGGGGTGGGGAATGGCCGCGCTGGCCTCTCGGCCAATGAGCGCGCGAGTGGTCAACGGGCGGAGGGTGAGTCCGGGGGGCGCTATTGTTTTACACCCTCGCTCTCGGCTCTCGCTATCTTGACCTTTTGTTCCAGCATCGCGCCTCTCTTGCTAACGCCCTCTATGTCCGGTGGCTGTCGCCAGGGATGGAGGGGAGGGGCGGGAAAGGGGTTGTGAAGTGAAATGGATCCGCTGCGCGTCTCATAAAATCCTGTCTGGAGAGCTAATTTTTCAGGGTGGAAAAAATATAAGAGTGGTTTGATGACAAATGGACCGTGTTTAGCAGAAAGGAACCAAGCCACACGGCAGAATACGGCGTTCTCATCAGGCTTAGCTACATTTTTTCTGTGCCCCACCAAAATCATATTGCATTGTAAAGCAGCGTCAATTTTATTACCATTCGTATGCAATTAGACTTCCTTGGAAATAAAAAAGGATAAGTAAATTAAGGAACGCAACTTCTCTCTCGCACCTCGATTGCAGACCTTAGCTATTGCCTACTTTAAGTGGGTAGTTTATGCTTTTACAAGAGAACGTATGTGCGAATTCTTTTGAAAATTTTAAGGAATTTACTTCTCACTAAGCAGAAAATTCACTGAAATTTGCGAAGAAATCCGCATAACCGTTTTCATTTTAAAAATTAAATTACCTAATTAAATTTGGCAATAGCTGATGTGTCTTGGTTCCTTTCTGCTGAACGCAGTTATAAACATCTCGACTGTGAGACTGCCAGACATCGCATCTCGGTTTGTAACGTTGTAGACGTTTAGTCTGTCATTTTTCGCTTTATAAAGTGAAAAGTACAATCAACATTAAATCTTGAAAATTTCCATGACTTGCCTCTTTGTGCGAAAAGACCTCTGTTAAAATGTCAAAGAACAACATTAGTACTGATTTGTTCTCCTTAAAAAGAAAAGAAAAAAAAGTGGGAGCGGAGATTTTTAAATATTGCTCACGAGAAACGTGGCTTGGTAGTTGCAATGTAGATATTCGAGGCGTTGGGAGCAGAAGGAACATTTCTTTGTTGCGGTGTTTCCACTGCTAATTTATCTTTAAGAGAGGAAGCTGTTGGGTGAATTTTCTAAAAGTTTAGGTATTTAGCATTGTAAAATCAGGAAAAAAAATTGAAAATTGAGTAAAAGTTTTGACGAATTCCATGAATTTGCTTCAATTATAAACATAGATCCTGAGACACTGCAATCAAGGAATGTTCTTTTTGCACCCAGCGCTTCTCGAGGCAGGTATTGAATATAGCATGATTCATAGACATATTTCTGCTATAAAGATCTATGTAGACATTGACGCAATAAAAAAGGAACGATGTGTATAGAATTTGCTTCATAGTTCCGATTGAATTAATTAATAGAGTCTTAGAAATAAATATGCCAAATTGAAATTCCCTTTTGCTACGGATGTTTCATAAAATTTTGGGGGCCGAGCATGCAATGCAAGGCAAATGACCGAGAATTCGACATGGAAATTAGAGGTAAAATCAATTTTCTCCATTTTCAAAATCTCAAAACGGAAGCGTTTGCCCGGAATAAACTGATCTTCAAGGATTTATATGTCTTGAGAATTATTTAAACGCAGCATTTGTAAAAAGGGACCTAGTCTTTCAGAAGAAAATTCCCCTTAACTGTTTGCATATGCATGGAGGACTAAAATCTGCACATTTTGACGTAATTTTGACCCTAAAATCTCCAAATTCGAAGAAGATATTTGTCTTGAAATTCCAAGACAATGAGTCTTAGATTGTAGAGAAACGTGATTTAAGAGTCTGTAAAAAGATGAGGATAATTTTCTCTCAGAAGGTGAGGCCCTCACTGAGAAAAAATGAAGTTGATTTAACATTCTGGATGTAAAAAAAAGTGTGCGAGAACTTACAAGATGTTGAATAAACTGCTACAGCATAGTTACTTTAGCAATGTCAAGATGTAAAACTAACTATCGTAGCAGGTAATTTAGCATTTTGTGAGTTCTCACACACTTTTTTTACATCCAGAATGTTAAATCAACTTCATTTTTTTTCGGTGCTCTTCCAAAGGTCCGGTCACATTTGAAGTTTTAAGAAAGTGCATGGCTTAGTTGCACATTTTAGCTAAATAATTCCAGTCGAATGTGCAGTACCGGGAAAACTTATAAGTATTTTTTTCTTATAACTTGCAGAGGATTTACAATTTGATACAGTGTGTCCAAAAGTTTTAAAGAAAAATGTCGAAAATTTTCCAATTTTTTTGGCAACAATAGCATCTCCACGGGTTCCCCTTTCGTTAAGCTAACCCTATTTTCCCATTTCCTGATTTTTTTTGACGCCGCCATCCTTCAACCCTTCCTGCCAACAACTCAGTTTCCAAGGCGCAAAGTCGGGGGTGGTTTTTCCCGACAGCCGCGCTGCAGTGCTAAGGAAGAACGCCGTATGAACATCCGAGAGTTGCCAAATTACCCTGGATAAAACATGTATTTTTGAGAACGACTATGCGTATATTTCCTAGACATTTTCAGACATTTTAGACGAAATTGGGATCAAAATTGTCTGAAAAATTGAAGAAAATATTTTAAGATTTTCCCAGTAAATTAAGGTTTTATTGAAGGAAATGTGGCAACGTCTGAAGGTTCATACGGCGTTCTTCCCTCGCACGGCAAAGCGGAGCTCCCATAAAACGCGAATTTGAGTTGTCGGAACAAGAGACCTCTCCCGCGATGGGCGGGGAAGAGAGGGGTGCAGACAAGGGAAAGCGACACGGCAGGGCCAGTAATCGAGAGAGCCGCCCCTGTGGCGGGGGTGGGGGTTGGAGGGTAGGAAAGTGCGAAAACAGAGGCGGCAAATGGGCGGTTAGCGCGGGTCTCGAGTGAGAAACTGCACGCTAATGATGAAAGGAAATTTCGAGGCCGAGCTGTGAGACCGCGGCGCTTTCGCGATAATGCGCCGCGGGTTGCTCGGCTGTGATGGACGGGGGCTTTTGTGACGTCAGAGGTGACGCCAGGGTTTCAGACGGTGGTTTTTTAGCCGGAGCCAAGCGTCCGAGGTAACGCTTCTTAAAAGCACGTAAATATGCAGAAAAATGTTTGAAAGGTGTGAGAAAAAGAGAGGGAACGAGAAAAGAGGAGAACGTTTTTTAGTTTTCCGTACAAAGAATCGTAAATACATTCCAAGGTTGCAAGATTGACTGAACGCAATTCAACACTTCACAGGAATACGATTCTGCAGTATAGGTCCAAAATTTTGGTGAGTTTTGCGAGTAATCGGTGGAAAAATCAGTGGAATATTCGGTTATA